AAAATATGGATGATATCAAAATTGAAATCCATCTAATCTAATATAATAAAAACAAAGAAAAGATTTGGGTAATTAGCCTTATATGTCTAATATAATTTCATCCAATAAAATCATAACGGGTAGATTTTAAAGCATTAATAATATTAATATCAAGAATTTATTATGAAATAAATAATATATAAAAATCAATATATTATGACTTAATAGAAAATAATTACTTCAAATACAACGTAAATGTATAAATTATCTCTTAAACTTTAGATTCAATAGCATCATAGATCTTAAACTTATTTATTGTGTAAATTATTCCTAATGACCTAAGAAATTATATGAAATTTTTGTGGTCCATTTCCAAAAAAAATTAAGTAATTGTTTGTAACTTTTGGGTCCTTTATTGTAATATTTTGGTTGTTTTATATAATTTTGGAAGTTATTTTCTAATTAACTAATGGTTGAAGTTAACTTTTGTTAATATCATGAATCGAATTACACCCTTTTTTAAAAGTTAAAGAAATAATTTATATAATAAATGAGTTCAAGACCTATAATGTTATTGAACTAAAATTTTATGAAAGTAATTTATTTACTTACTTTTAAACATATAAAGTTAAATACTCCACTCCTCCCTATATATAAAGTGTTTATTATAAGCTTATTTTGTCCTTAAATATAAGGGGTAATAATAATATTTTTAAATAATCAGACAATTTTACCCTTGTCTCGGAACATGAAATAAATCATTAATTATATATTTTTCCTACTATTATCATGATATTAACTATGATATCATTGGGGGTTAAACTGAAAAATTATTATGTTTTATGTGAGTTCAACTGAATAACAAGTTTCTATTGGTATTTGAGATTTGGTTAAAATACCTTATACTCCTCTAATCCTATTTATAAGCCACTTCTAACATATTTTATTAGTACCAAGGAAAACAATAAAACTCATTATTTTCTTAAAATTTAATAAGTTATCAACTTTACTCTTATTAAATATACGTATTTAAATAATAAATTTTCTCTCTTTAATATTGAATGAAAGATAAAAAAATTATAATAAAAATATAATGATAAGATTTATAAATAAAATTAATTTTTTTTACTTTATAAATAGAATTAAAGGGAGTATATCAGGACGGAGGGGGCATATAAGTCTTCTGCTACACATAATTTTTGTATTAAAAACGATTGATGACATAATTAGCTATTACTGCTATACTTATTTGACCTCATCAATGTCACCGACATTGTTCGGCATTTGATTTTCAAGTGATTTGACAATAAAAAAAAGCACTTTTTTTTAAAGAGGTTTACCAAAATAGTAATATCAACATGGATTCTCATTCAGTACTTTTGCCGAGCACGCCATATGCTTGTTTTGTGCATCACTTTCCACGAAATCCTACTTGAGAGAACGGTTTCAAAATGAGGATAAAGGATTTGGATCACATGCACTGACAATGGATGAAAAGTATCAGGATCTTAACCGTTCATCTTACCTAATATTTTCTCAATTAAAAAATATAAATATTTTAATTAAATTTTATTTTAATAAAGCAGCTACTTACTTTAAAACTAATTTTATATTTTTATTTTTATCCTTATTAATATTCTATAATAAATATAAATTCATTATCAACAGAGGCATTTTTTTAAAAAAGGTAATGATTATATAATTAAAAATACCTTATATTTTTAAATATTTAACTTTTTAAAAAATAATTTATATTTTTAAATGGAAGGAGTAACTAATAAGAGATTGGTGCATAAAAAATCTTATAATCTACAAAACACATAAACCTTTTTCATACTCTTTAAAGTCTAAATTTTTTATTGTTACAATAAAATATAAAAGAAATTTACTAGATGGAATCCAGGCTCCTCATCCACTATGAAGTAAGAACTTTAAGATTTAAATTGTAAAATAATTTTTTATTGTATAAAAAATGTTTATATGATTTGTAGATAATAAATTTTTTGTACGCCACTCTCTTTCTAGTCGTTAAATGAAATAAATGGTTAATATCCTCTTACTTTTCATTTACGGCATGAAATTCACCTCATGTAATCTGAAAGAGGATAAATCCACAGTAATATGAAACAAGCTCTTGTCATTTGTCAATTATCTGTAAATTTACTCAGCAACTTTTTTTTTTTTTTGAGTGATCTACTCAACAGCTATTGAAATGCAAAATATTTTCTAAAATACTTCAAGCAATCAAAATATTGAGTTGAAAATTGAAAAAACCTGTTTTTAATCAAAGAAAATAAATTTCATACAAATTTGACCCTCTTTGATCACATTATTTCCAGTTACACGCAAATTGCACAAATTCAAAGGATCTATAAATAGTAATAGGGCTATAGATTGATTAATATTGGGTGGGTATGATTAATAAACTTGAATTTTGAAGGCTTCTCTTTATGTTATGTCATTTTGATCCAGGACTTTGGCTCTTTATAGACATCATGTCATCTCCATGTATCACATTCTATTCCTTTTGTTCACCTCGATTAACTTACATGTTACAAATGTATTTTACTTGAGATATGGCTGTGTGTTAAATGTAAATATTTTTTTAATGAGAATTTAAGTTTAGTTGGCTACATTAATTTAAGTATATTATTTTTTTCCACTTCAAGTTTATTATACATATATTTTTTTAAGAGATTGCTTCAATTACTCAACTCAAACTTGTGACTACCAAAGTGATCACATCGCAACAACTTCATTATTGTGCCAAGGCTAAGGCTCTCTCTCCCTCCATTGTTTTTATTTTTAATTAAAAGATCTTATGGTAAATATATATTCTTTCTGTTAAAAAATGTAAAGTATTTTTTAAGAAGTCCGATATTAAAAAATATAAGGTATTTTTAGTTTTTTGAAGTGTAATAATTATCTTTTTTTTCCAAAGGTACCTCTAATAATGACTTTATATTTATTATAAAGTATTTAACAAAGATAAATATAAAAAAATAAAATTAATTTAAAAATAAATAATTATTTTATTAAAAGTAAAATTTAATTAAAATCTCCATAGTACCACTTAGACAAATTGGTAAACAACAAGTTTCATGGGCAATCATTTTAACCATTAAAGATTTGAAAGTTTCTCAGCCCCACACCATGGTTAAATTACCAGGTTTACTGATGAGGAAGGGTTACTTTTCACCTGCCTTTTCCAGACTTTAATATACAAGACAAACTTACTAAACTTCTTGCTTATTAAAACATAATTATTGTATATCATCAAAATTGTTAAAATATATATAATTTTTTAATTGTTTTTCTTTATAATTAATAATATATTAAATCGTTGTCTAAAAATTTAAATCAGAATCAGAATAAATTTGTCTCATGCCCAGCACTGATAATCTCAAATAGATTTGTTGTACAGGAGAAATCTTAGAAAATCTATTTCTTCATGGATTTTTCCCAAGAAAGAAAAAAATCCTGTGTCTGTAGGCTGGGCGGCTAGAAATATTTTCATTTGTAAATGTTTGTGGGCTAGAGCTAGACGTCCCAGTCACTCTACATTCTGTTTTTCGCCCCACTTTTGTTAAATCAAAATTGACCTCATTTCATGGCTAAGGGTAATTACCCAAGAAGAAGAAAAAGAAGAGGGTCGGTCATGTCATGTCATACTCATTTTATTTAAAAATATAAAATATTTTTAATTAAATTTTATTCATTAATAAAATAATTATTTATTTTTAAATTAATTTTATTTTTTATATTTATCCCTATTAAATATTTTATAATAAAAATATTTTTTTAAAAAAGTAATAATTATATATCGAAGTATTAAAAATATCTTACAGTTTTAAATATTCAACTCTTTTAAAAATGTCTTACAATTTTAAATGAATGGAGCATATGATATAAAATTTGCAGTATCTTATATACTATTCATGATACAACTAATTTCTCAATTTTTTTACAATAAATAAAAATTGGATATGTGTTTCGTATGTTTATACATAAAAAAATTTAAAAGCAAGTTATAACATTCCCAATTTATAAACATGGTTACAAAATAAACTAGTCGTAATTTCATACACTTCCACAGGAGAACAGTTTTCTAACGATATTAATAATAATAACCTTGTCTAAGAACTTAATGATTTTTTAACTTTAATATCATTAAATATGTATATTTTTATACATATTTTCTTTCACTAACATGTAACCAGCTAAACAAAAAAATCCAACCCAATACTAATAGATAACTATATAAGAAATTTTGGTTGAAATTAATTTTAAAATCTTAGAAGGAATAACCATTCTTAACAGAATATCCCAATCTTTATAAATTGTTAATAATTTCTTAATAAATCATTCTCAGCATTTTTCGGCCAAACAAAGGAAATTCTTACAAAGAATTATTACCTCTATCTAAAAATTTAATAAATTCTTAATTTTATTCTTATTAATTATGTATACTTTAAATAATACTTTCTTTTATTAATATTTAATTAGTTAAACAAAAAAAATTGTAATAAAAAATTAATAATATTTGTTGTATAGATATGGGTCAGATGACAATTTTCTTCCACTCTTTAAAAATTTTGCATGATTTAAAATATAAATAATTAAATATTAGCTGGATGTTATATTTTATTTTTCATTTACACCTTAATTAATATCGAGCAAATGATATTTTAAATAAGTCAAATGTTACAAAAAAATTTAGAACAATATTTTTAAAAATTTTATATTTTTAATTAAGAAGACGACGAGACGAGTCCTGCGAACAATGAGACAATGAGTTACTGTCTCTTGTGCAATTCGTCGAACACTTAACCGACCACTGTGCAGATCCCTGCCAAAATCCCAGACGCTTAGGCGAATCTCGTGAGTGTCCATTGCTTTCTCTGCTTTCCTCCGCCTTCGTTTATCCTCTCAAATTGCTTATTTGGTGCGCACTACCTACTGTCTCCTATCTTCAACTATGCCTGATTTTTTCTCTGCTCTACTCATTTAGTCTCTGATTGTCGTTGTCCTGATTCTGTTTTCGGTGTCATTGATGTTGACTGAATGAGATTGCTTTCTAGAAATATACTGAGCACCATAGTTTGCTCACATGTGTGTTTAGGAAGCTCATAATTATACTCGACCGCCCATGCTAGACCTACTGAACTTATATGTAGTCTGTGCTTGAAAGGATAACATGTTTGGATGACTCGCATGATATGAATCCTTCATTTGAAACTGTTGATGCTTTGCATAACTCTTCTTTTTGTTTTCCCCACAATACTCTACTGATTTAATTTTTGATTCTTTTCTTTTTCTGGACGCCTGTGTCTGTTTTCTATTGAGACGAATTGAATGATATTGTTGTGTAGAAAACACCATATTTGCTCACTCATTTACCTAAGAAGCTCAAATTACACCTGGCTTTTGAAATTTGAAAATGTTATTTGTGTTTTGTGGACTCTGATACTGGCACATGGGACATGACGCCACCACGGACACGGCAACGCATTATTCATATGTGATTTAAAGTGTTCTGTTGTGTCTGATTATTGTTTCACATGTGTATGAGAACAACGCCTTTTTCTGGAGTGCCCGTGATTCAGAGTCTAGTGTGCTTATACGTAGACTTTCCTATTTGATGAGGAATCATAAAGAGTAAATAGTCCTTGCGTTTGGAACTCTTAGGGATGGTTTTGAGCAATAGTTTGGAGTATGGGCTTATGCATATAACAAAAAAGCACACCTAACCTTAGGCTGCATGCGTGAGATTTTGTTTGAGGTGTTCCCTGACCCATTTATTTTAGCACCTTTCATGTCATCTGGGTCTTAGTGTCTTTCAGCTGCCCCTCACTTGATGTCATGTGGTTCTGTTTGTTACCAGCTCCCATTGGATTTGGCCAACACATAACTGTTGGATATAACACTTTCATTTTTTATCCCTCTTTTACCAGTTTGATCACTTGCCAACTCCCTAGTTGGTCCTTGTGAAAGCCTCATGCAACTTGGGTTGGGTATAGGGGCAAATCGATCTGTATTATGCAAGCATGCTGTTAAGGTAACACATTGTTATCACAATTTGTTAAATCTGAATTAAGAAAACATGTTTCCACTAGACTTTATGGGCATTCCATTTATCTCCCACATTAAATTTTTTCTTTGAGAAACGAATAAAATCAAAGTTTATCTTTATAGTTGATTTTCTGTTGTTATGATGGATTAAACTAATTACAGAAGAACATGCTTACATAAAAGTTTGTTTGTCATGTGGTGGTTTCAAACTTGCAGTTACCTCTGCAAAGGGACAGAACTAGATATATTTATTTTGGGGGGAAGTGTTTGAAATTTTAAAGGGGCAAAATTTAAAAATTTTTAGGGGTTGAAATTGCAATTTTTCTAAAAAAAATAAAATAAAAATAAAATTCTCCATTATTGTACTAACATATTACGAAGATGACCAAAACTTAGGGGTGTGGCTGCTCTTTTTTCTTTTAACCTAGGTCCTTCCCCATCTGCAACTGCAATCACCTTGGGGTTTTCTTCGAAGTTTCCTGCTTTGCACAGTAGGAAGGCTTAGAAGTTCTTGATGCCATGGAATTAGGACAATCCTTTGTAAAATTAGAAGATGAAAGTTACTTCTCATAGTATTTAGCTAGTAATATGTTGTTTGAGAAGTGATAAACTGGAGGTGGCATTTGAGCCACTCTAACCATAATTATGTTGGTCATATAGTTGTCTAGAATCTCTTATGATCATACTTCATAACCAGAGTCTAGCTTCAGTTTCAATTGAACAATATCTGTTTACGTGTAATTTGTTTTTCGTGATTCTCTTATTTATTGATTTTAAGTTGCACTCCTGGCAATGCATCATGTATAAGTGTCTTCTTAGTTTCATTTTGTTTCATGGCTGATTATGTGGAGGCATCAATGCACTGTTCTGAGCAATTGGAAAGATAAAAAGTCTTCTATTCTTCTTATTTCCTCTTGTTCACTATGCATCTTATGTATTATACAATTAGCAGGCTTGCATCAATTTGAAAGTGTTTGGATCTTCGCAGGTTTCTTGAATATGCAGAGCATAAGGAAGTCTATCTTGAGACATATAAATTTGAGGTCAACTGAAAGATGGTTTTTGGCGAGGGATGAGAATGTTCAAATGCAATTGAGACGCCTTTGCTCCTCAACTGATGCCAGCTCTGATATGATACTTGATCGAGTAATTGGATTGGTGAAGAATTATAATAGGATTAATGCTTCTAAGGTATTAGACTAATGATTAATGTGCAATTTAACATTTTGTGTCAACTTTATAGTGCTAACTTTTAATCTGTGGCTGGATTGATTATGCCTTCTATGTATTGTCTTCTTAGAGCCTTTCATTATCTAGGCTTCATTTCCAGATGAAGTCGAGTTGTATTGGAAATGAATCGGACATGATATGGTTCTACTTTTAAGTATTAATGCCTTAATGAATGTTTTTATTTATACTCACTATGGGAAATTTATTTTTGGGGTACCGACAAAACTTAGGACTTAGACGGGTTGTTTCTGTTTCAAGACAAGGCACACTATAGTTGGGAAATATTTTACATTTGAATCCAAACTTGGAAACAATGGTTGTTCTCAGAGACATTCAAAATCAAAGTTCTTTCGAGGACAAAACTTACCATTAACGCTTTCTAAAATAATCAGTCATGTTTTTAAAATTCACAACCTAGTCTTTCCATGTTATAAGAATGTTGTAGATTTGTAACTACAAGGAATATGAATTGTAATTATAAAGATACCAGTGTTACTGTAGGAAACGTAATTTTGGCGTTTCTTGGAGATTATTTTCAAGGTTCTTTAGCTCATTTCCCCCAAGTTGACTTTAAGTGGAAAATTTGCCCATAACTCAGATCTCTACCAATAAAAGATGCTACTTGTACTTCACTGTGTAGGTTACTGAAACAGCTGACTTTCAGAAAGACCTGAACCTTGACAGCTTGGACAGGGTAGAGCTTATTATGGCTCTTGAAGAAGAATTTTCCATCGAAATCCCTGATGAGAAAGCAGAAAAGCTAACTTGCTGTGCTGATGTTGCAAAATACATATCCTCTGAAGCTTCTCAGAAAGTTGTTGAAAAGCCCTGACTTCTAGGCAATATTCCTTGGGCATGGTATTCAAATGTTTCATATCTGAGGTATCAGAGTTTCTTTTAAGTTAGCCAAGTTGCAACTATGTGTGTTGGTTGACCTATCTGTTGCTTCAACAAGGTATTTTGTTGTTGGAATAGATGAAGACTTAAAGATCTTAGTGATTGTTTTTGGTTGAAGATAGGTCAGCCTGGCTGGAATACTCTGTTGACCTTTAAAATGTTTCATAGATGCAGTGATTGGAAGAATACCACGTATGGAAATCATTTAATCTTGAGATGTATGAGCTTATCAAAGATTGGCGTTTGCATAATTTTACTTGTTCATTGATAATAGTAGCAAATGAATCAATTTAGAATCATTTTAGCCTTCTATATGACAAAATGCCAGAAGTATTTGCATATCCAAACATGACATGATTCATACAACGGAAATACATTTTACAATTTTTCTTTCCAAGCAGGGGAGGGAATGCATTACAGTATATGCTATTTAAATACACCATGATATTAACAATCCATGCAACTCAATACTGTGACTAGAGCGCCATCTAAGTGAGCCATGATACTCTTCCTCGTAAGACTAAGATGCTCATGTTTAATTTACATAACATGGGAAAACCAGGCCAATCATAGACAAATATCTGTTCATGGTTGATTTAATCCGCTTCATTCCTTTCTCTCTGTTTATAGTGGAACCTCAAATTTCAAGCACTGTAAGTGCGAATGCCATTCCCAAAGGTTGATAATCTGAGTTTCTTGTGTCTCTTGACGTAAGCTAGTTGGCACTGCGAGTTCTTTGGGATCTGATGAACTTTCACTCTGCATATTTTTTCCAAGTTGGGGATTGCATGCAGGTATGAAGGAAGATCGATCATGAAATCTCCATATTCATCGGTTATGCCTCGTGCTACCGTCGATTTTCCTCTCCACTCGCTGCCATGGCTGTGGCAGTTGACAGCCACCGAAGCTCCTGCATAAATTTTAGAACGGCTGAGTAGTTAAATTGCTCTAGAAATAACATTTTGAACCAAATTAACAATTTGATCTGTGGCTTGGGTCTAATGAATTTGGTTCTAACAAATTTGGAAAATTATGAACTCGTAGCATGTTAGATGAGTAATGTTTTAAGTAGATTTAGAACTAAATATTTATTATTTGAATGCTGGTATTAAAATAAATATGTAAGACTTATTTGGTACATTAAAATTCAATAAAAAGTGATTTTTTACTTTTGAGGATCGATGAAAAATATTCTTACCTTCTCTACTTTTAAATATTATAATAAAATAAATATATCAAATAATAATTAAAATGAGTGACGTTATTTTATAAAGATGATAGAGAATATTTATCTTTCGATCCACCATTCAAATATGATCTAATAAATAATGCATACATAATTTTTTGTAGGAAGAAAAGAGACCTTTCTTATGGTATAATTAACCAAACAAAACTTAAATCTTTTAAATTATTTTTGGGGCAACATTTCTGAATTCTGAATTTCTGACTGATAGTGCTGGTGACCTATCATAATCGTCAATTTAATGCTATGGGTTTTCCAATATTAACTTTGATTTTGAAACTCTTTATTATTCCTAATCAATACTTATTGTTCTCAGTGATGTGTCGTTAATGATATAAACAAAAATCAAATCACCAATGGAACATTATCGCTTTCTTTCAGAGAAACCACGTGCTCCCGTTGTTGTCTCGTTTGCAGTATCACTTAAGATTCAGAATTAACTCAAATTCTTCGTGACACTACTTATATATATGTGCGTGTGTATATATGTATACAACCTTTTTTTTTCCCAGCCAAAATCAAGGAAAATTTCAACTCTTTAACCTTGTCAAAAAATCAAAGAAGTTCCCACGTTGCCCATATTAAATGCATTCTTAAAAAAATTTCCTACATTTGTACATCAATATTGAATAGTGATAAAATAAGTAAATTGTCAAAACTAATAAATGTGGTAGCGTATAGAAAGAAACTAAAACCATTTTTCCAAGTACTTTATTTTTAAAATTTTTACCCCCAACCTTATTCTTATCTCAGGAAAGGAGACACACACACCTAAGCACATACACAAAATATGTTAATACTAGGTTTGAACTCGAGCTATGCAAAATTAGAAGTTACATATTTTCTTAATAATTATAAGGATATAATTATCTCTTTTTTTTTGTTTTGGTTAATTAAGGATATAACTATTATTGCTTAATAAATAGAGTTGGTTAAGTTTAGTTTATATTAAAAATTAGAAAGGACGTATATTGACCAAGGTATTGAAAATCAAATCAATTATTAAAGTGATCAAGGTACTAGTTCAATGATTAATAATTATAATTATAATTGAACTGTAATCAGACCGGTTATAAATGAAGCATTTTATTAAACAAATCAATATATTAATTTAACTATTTACCAATTTAACCAAGCAGGTTGAGCATGATTTCCATGCTATGGTATCCACTAATGATATTGACTAAACTTTTTTTTTTAAATTTCTGTTTGGTTTGCTATCATTTTCTTTCTATCTTTCATGCATATAATTCTTTTTCATCTAATGTAAGAATCAGTTTACGCCTTAATAATCTGCAATATGATTGAGTGAATATGAGACAACATAAGTTTCTTCTTCAAAACTGAAGTTTTCACCAAAACCAGAAAGCAAAACTTTTCAACATTCACCAAAATTAATAGTGAAACGCCAACAGCTCTCCCATTCTCCAGTAGTACTGTTCACTGCTTTAATTCGAAGCATATTGTTATTCTTTTACCAACAGCTTAATCTTTACATATATAATCCTTAATTAACTGATATACACACACAAACTGTTGCAGTGAATTAATCACCCCAAACTAAAGCAAACACATGATTAGTGATTAGCTTGCATATAGCTCTCTGATATAACAGCATAGCTTCTTTCCATTTTTTCCCCCTTTAATACGAGCATATATTAATAATAACCAAAAATCACAACATCATATAATTAATAAGACCCTTTCTCAACGTTATAAAGAAATCATGAGCACTTTTTGGAGCATATAGATCCAGATTAAAGAGAAGAGAAAAGAATCGAAGGGGAAAAAAAAAAAATTAATGCTGTCTTTGGATTGAAGCGGATATCTAATGTTGTGTTTTCCATAACCACATTTTCGCAGAAGCAATAGTCTTGTTTGCTTTCATCCATAAAGAAATTTGGAACTAATAAAAATAATTCCCAACACACGCAGAAAGTAATAATGAAACTAAAATTTCTCTTCTTTTGCTTTTCCAGTGTCTGTAATCTGAGAGTGGGGAGAAAAAAAAATTGAGAACAGAGGCCGATACTTTGACAGTTATCGATCAGTTCATAGGTTCGTTGAAATATATAAACATATATATACTGCACAAACTGCAGAATTTATATAGAGAAACAAAATCGATGAAGAAAAATAAGCAGAAGGGCTTGAAATGTGTTTATGTACCTGGAATTGGCCATGCATGAATCTGCTGATCAGCTTTTCCATGCAAATCATGGGCCTCGCAATGAACAGATCCCGTCACGAGGACTGTGGAAAGCTTCTCTTCTCCATATCCAGCCATCTGCACCATCTCTTTTCTGCTCAGTAACTGGAACAAATCTCCCTCGGTGTCTTCTCCGGCGGCCGATGCCGGCACCGGAGACTGAAGGAAGACGACGATGCAGAGAAGGAGAAACATCACAAGGTCGTGTGAGCCGTGAAAGCAGGTCATCTTCTTGGCGCTTATAGTGTTACGTAAGATATTCAAACCCCGCACAATACAAAGAGATATAAAAGCAATGGCCAATGGCTTCCGTAGCATGTCTATATATATGTATATATAAGGCAATTCGATGGATCCTTCAAGTTACAATTTTGCCCTTATTGGTTTGACTTTATTATATTGTTTACGTAATGGAATTCAATTTTAAATATATTTGGAAGCCTTCAATTACAAGTCTTCTTCCCGCCATGTTAGTGTATATATACGATGCTGTTACTACAGATAACCAAACCATGCATGCGTGCTGAACAACATTAATCATTAGCTTTCTGGAAAGCTTTTAGTTTATACGATTTCATGGGGAAAACTTCATGTTGTTATTATTGTGCGCTTTTTTAGATTTTTTTTATGGGATATCTTTACACTACACTTTGAAATTGAAATATACAAAATTGTCAACAATAGATAGACGTAACAATTAATACACAATGAAATAAAATTATTAATTCATATAATGGACTTAATTTGAGTCATCATGCATATAAATTCAAAGTATTAGAACATGCTATAATTTTAATAAGATGATATTTTTTTTTTGATGAAATTGATATGAGTTAAATGAAAAATTAGCCCCTAAATTTTAAATCTAAAAGTGTCTGGGGATTCTAAACTTGTTTGTGGTATAATATTTCTCTTCAACATTTCAAAATAGTGCAATATGATCCTTAACGTTGATAGCTAGTAACTTTAATCATTAGTTGATAAAAAAATTATAAAAATGACAAATATTTTTTTTGGTTTTTTTTGGGATTAAAGAACATTTTTTCCTTTCAATTATTTGCTCAATAATGCCTGAAATCCTAAACTTTCATGTAGTATAATTTTTTTTTTTCAACTTTTAAAAATTGTGCACTAAATACTCTATCATTAAAAAAGTTAATTTTGACTGTTAGTTAATTTAAAAATTAAAAAAATCTCAAAAATTACACATAAGTATCTTATAAAAAAATTAACATCATTTAATTCTCCTAAGTTACATATAAATAACATGATATAAATTTTATTTCTGACCCATTTAAAGGCCAAGCTATGATTTTGGCCAGCCATTACTTTATATGCTTAATTAATATTAATTTTCTTACAGAGTACTTATTTATAATTTTATGAGTTTTTTTGTTATTTTTATTGTTAAACTAACAGTCAAAATTATCTCTTTAATAGCAAGGTGTTTAGTGTATCATTTTCAAAATTTGAAGGGCCAAATTTCACCACATAAAAGTTTAAGATATCAAATACTCCTGAATGAATAGTTGAGGGGCAAAAATATTTTTTAATCATTCTTTTTCTTTTTTGTAATTTTTTTAGATCATTGTTTGTAACTTTTAAAATCATTCTATTATTTTTTAATCAACTGTAATTGTTAAAATTAATTTTTACTAATGGTATGAGTAACGTTGCAAGATTTTTAAAAGTTTTTTTAAAAATATTGCATTAAAAATTAATTTAGAATTCTAGATGCACTTGGACCTATAGCTTAGAGAGTACTAAAAACATATAGTTTGGCTAATAAAGTGTTGATAAAAGATTTGGATTAATTAAAGTTGGTTCACTTTAATATTTGACCGAGAGAGGAGAAGAGAAGAGGGTAAAATGGGAAGTTAGGTGACCAAGAAGAGAAGGAAAAGAAGTTGGAAGTTGGAAAGGGAAGTTAAGGTATTAACCAAGTTGGTAGCCTACCCTTATGCTACATATATATTTAACTTAATTGATTAATTATTAGAGAAAGTGAATTTACTTTATAATTTAATTAAGAGGATTTTTGAAGTGTAAAGGCAAAACAAAGCATTTAGCAATTGGTTTTCATAAGCTATGTGTTTGACGCAACCTTGGCAGCTAAGCTAAATTCAATCTCTCTTTCTCTCTTTTCCCAACCCATCCCAACTATATCTTGTCTCTACATATATTATCACTTTCATTTCTTCTCTACTCAATTTCCCATATAAATAGCAATGGATTTTTTTCATTAACAAAAAAAAAAACAATTACGTGGATTAATATGCATAGTATATAAAGTTTTCAATTCTAGTTTTTTGTTTTTAATATAAAGTCACAAGAAACCCATGCAAAATAAGAATATAAATTAAATTATGTCAGATTCTATAAGAGATGTACATCATGGGCAAATGATAAAAATGATAAGATTTAATTTTTTTTTTAAGAGGTTTAGTAAGCGAGAAATTCAGCACATTTATTTACTTCCGTGAATGCATAATCAAAGGTAATGATTCAATTCTTTATGACAAAGGTAATGGTCAGATTCTAGTTTTTTACATATGTATATCATTTCGCGAGTGCGCATATAAGTTTTTCAATAAAATTTCGTACAGTAATATTTTTTTTTCATATTATAATTCTGTCAAAATAGTTCCGTAATTTGGTAATTTTTTTAAACATAATAATTTCGTTTATGTAGCTTACATCAAATTTTGAATAAGAGTTAGTATAATCCCAAAATTTTTAGCACTCTTATTATTAGTTCCTTGATACCCACTGGGAACCTTCAAGCCACGAGGTGGGCATGAAATGAAGTTTATTTTGGAATCATAAATCATTAAAAAAATAAAATTCATTTTGTGACTCGCTCTATTTGGTTTGAGAAAGTTATGACATTATATTTATTCTGAATTAATCCCTTCACTTTCGGGTTGCTTTAATTAATTAATAGGACTCTCTTTCATTCTCGTAAACAATAGACAGCGACAATTTTTTTTTTTTTTGGGTTTGTTTTAAAATTAGATGCGAGAACAACATTATGCTAAGTTCATTGGATTTGACTAAAGAAATTAAAATGAAACAGTCGGCTGCAAACTGCAGCTAAGCCCATTCAGCCAAGCCGACTATTAAAGTTTTATATTAATCATAAACTAAAATTCATCACTTAAATTAAAATAGTTTAAGTTACTTTTTAAAGAATTTACTATATATTTATATAGTTGTGATTAATTCTCTAATCACTCAATGTGTTATTATTATATATTTGCTACAGACAAGGGATTAATTGTTCAAATCCCTCATCATTTCTTTTCAATTAAAATTCTTCCTCTTTTATCTCTCCTGTTAAACGGAGCACACCATACGGTGTTAAGAAAAGTTTAGGTTTAAAAACCCTCTTATTTTAATTTTAAAAAAGAAAATAAATAAATGGGTGCCTGTATATCATTTAGGAATATAATTCTTATAGCTTTTTAGATTTTTTAATATTTTATGCAGATATTGATTTTTTTTTTTTTTTTAAGAATAGATAGTCGCTATGAAAGTCAGATTACGGAGCATTGAGGCTGAACAGAAAAGTGAAAATGACGGAAGAAATGTTTAAAATTAATTGGATAATGGCGAATGAATGGGAAGCAAAAGGTTATGAAATTAATAGGACAGGCCATTATTTCAGCAATAATTTTGAAAATTAAGAGCGAATTGACATGGCCTGCTGTGATATTAAACCGTGTGGATTTATTAAAATGAAAAATCCGGCCAACATGAGGATATGGCCTTTATTATTAATACATTAAAAAAATAACTTTAGGCGTATGTTATTATTAATCCTTTTATATATATATATATATTTGTGTTTCTGGTAGAGGTGAGAACAAGGCCAGGTTTAGGTCCTAAAACTCAATTACCCAAGATTTGACCTAATTCTAAGGCCTAGCCTTAAGCCTTTTTCTCTAAAGAAATCCGACATTTTAATTTAAACAGAAAATTTTAAAATTCAACATAAAATGAATTAAAATTTTACATAAAATTTGATAAAGATTTAAATTTTTAAATTTAAGATAAAGATTAAAATTTTTATCAATATAAATCTAAATTCTTCTCTTCATCATCTAAAAATAAAATATTAAATCTCTCAAATATATGTTCAATTGTTGAAGATGAAAGTGAAGATTTAATGTCAATTGTTTCTGCAATTTCTTTTCATCACTTATAATAAATATTAATAAAATTATGTCATTATTAGTCAAATAATATATGTTTGTATATATGTGTATATATATAAGATAACCCAACTTATTAGGACTTAAAGGGCCCTTCAGGTCAGGACCTTTTTTCACATGACTTATCAAGGTCAGGCCCTAAAGCCTGGTTACTTTTTTTAAAAAAATTAACTTCTGAAGCCCGAACTTTTATATTAACAGAGTCTTCGGCCCAACCCTTATTTTTTACTCTAGTTTTGTGTCCCCATGCTTTCATTTTTTATGGTTTTAAATTCTTTCAAGATTCTCATACTTTGTTCATGGAGGGATATAAAATAATAAAAAATAAAAGTACATGAATAAAAAATACTTAAAAAAAAGCACATAAACCAATAATAATATGTAAGTAAAATATAAAAATTTAAAGTTATATTTTTTCTAATACGTAGAAGAGCCTTTGTAGAATAAGAAAGAAGCCACGCTAAGCTCGCCGCTCCTAAACCTAACTCCGTCAACCCTTTTTTTATTTGTGTATTTAATTAATCTTACTTTTGTCTCCCACATTTTATTTAAGCCAAATATAAAATAAATCTTTTTCCCACTTACATTTTCTTTTATTTTTAATCATACCTAATCAATTTATTTTCCGTGTTATTAATTAGCATATTTTGTTCCCGTGTCGGTGAAGAGGTTAGAAGACTTATAGTCATATTACCTTCATCAATGTTATCTCGGGATCTTTATATGACTAGTGTTGCGCATTGATGGAACTCAGGGGATTGAAAACAAACAAATAAAAATATAGGAATTAAAATAAAATGTAATTAAATTATAGGGACCTGTTATTATTTTTTTTCCTAAAAAAAAAGTATTGCATGCTGTGGGACGCTCTTCCTTCTGCCTCACAACAGTGACTCACGGCATTGCTAAGGAGTGTTTAATCTTATACACGTTTTGATTGGCTCACTTCTATCTCAATCATATTAGGATAGATCTTTTTTAGCCTAAAAAAAAGTGGGACCGGATGAGAAGGGTTTCGAATGGATGGGATGGGGTATGGGATTATAGAGCTGGATTCTCTCCCTTGCAAAGGAGAGAAGTGAA